AGTGCAGCGCTCTACCAAATGAGCTAACAATTGTCACGCGATCCGCGTGACCTTTCTGGAGTTCAGTCTACCGCCGATGCACTTCATTCAAAATCAAATATGGCGGCCGAGTTTGAGGATCATTTTCCAAGACTCGAAGATTTATGCATAAGATTCGTATCTGCCAAGGGAAACCTCTGGAATCCTAAAGTTTTCTTAGGTGTGTGACATTCAGTATAATTACTTTTGCTGATTTCGGGACACGACTGCCTCAAGACTTGCTTTGGGTAACAAAGAAAGTGTATGCACGAGTCCGATGATGTAAGATCAGAGCGAGTAGAGTTTTCAACAGTACAAGTGCAATTAGCGCGAAGGCTTTTAATCGGGAAGGGGGGGGGGCTGGACTAATGGGGGAAAGAGGGAATATATAAAAGAACTCCTGGAACTTACATTTATCATATTTGCCGCCTGATAACTCTGTCGATCAGCGGTGTGCATGTACATGTATTGTTACGGGGAAAAAGAATCCTTGAGCACTCACAAACAATGGGAAATTTGCACTCTCATAAGTACCTTAGGGTTTTACTTTAAAGTATTGTTCAAGTATTGAAAGTATTGTTCAATTTATTATCAATGTTATTTATCAATGTTGTTATCAATATTATTATCAATATATGATTTTTTATGATTTATTAAATTTTGAACTCTGAATATTGCATTTTTAGTGGTGTTCTGATTGATTCACTCAACACCGGTTATCAACTCATATTTGTAGTCACCTTTGGAGATGCATTGCACCAACTGTTGTGGGGCTGAAAAAGGGCTCCTGATATGCAAATTTCCAGGAGTTAATAAGTTTATAAAAACAATTATTATTAAAAGCTGGATTATTGGATAGTGCAATTCAAGACTTTTTATTGGCTTAGCCATTATGGTATATGAGCCAATATACCATAATTTACAAATATGGTAAGCATATGCATCAGCTTAAAATTAAAAGGGAGCTAAATTTTTTTATCTTGGGGGCATTTTTACTAAAAAAATTATTCTATCAGCCCTTCCTGGAATGAAAATAGTTATGACCAACTTATATCTAATGTGCATTCCTAAAATAATTGTTGATTATTAATAACTGGATCATTGGATAATGCAATTCAAGACTTTGTATTGGCTTAGCCATTAAAGTAAATGAGCCAATATACCATAATCTACAAATATGGTAAGCTTACGCATCAGCTTAAAATTAAAAGGGATCTAAAAAATTTGTCTAATACAAAGATTTGTCTAATATCTTGGGGGTGTTTTTAATAAAACAATTATTCCACTCGCGCTTGTTGGATATGAGATGATTATAACCAACTTGGTGCTACGTGCCTCGTTGGTTATCTATCATCTCGTATCCAGCACACGCTCGTGGAATAATTGTTAAATATGTACATTTAATCATATATGATATACAATACCATTATGTAAATAAAAAGTGCACCACGTAACCATAAGTGAACATTTCCTTGTATGTATGTATTCTAAAATGAAGTTTAAGTTTGTTCTACTTTTGCCTTACGAAACTTTCAGGAATTCCTAGACATCTACTTCTTCCAATTTTGGAGAAATTCCAACCTTTTGATGTCGAGAGGCTTGAAGTCACTGGCATTTTTCAAACTGTTGGTAAGAAAGACTTCAAGCTCAAATTTACCTGTGGATATGGTAGAATATACCACCATGCACATTATTTTGAAGGCCCCGTTAACCCTTTACACCATAACATCAGCATCTATATTCCCTATACTCTACTCTAGACATTTCCTTTGGTGCTGACAAGGAGAATTTGTTTAATAATCAAAGCTCCTTAGGTCCACAATCATTTCATTTATTCTTGTTATCTTAATAAATGATTCAACAGTTAATGTAAGGAGAAATTTACTTAATAATTAACTCAGTTGATGACACCAAATTATCTTTTTTTTTCTTGTTATACCCCCTCACTGACATAGCCAGACAGATTCCTTAAAAACTTTCCCACCCAATTTGTTTGTTACTTGGTTTGTACTTTCCTCTGTTGAATGAGTATGATAATGTATTAAGAGCAAAGGAGAAACTTCTGAAACTACTTTAAATTATTTGATTTTTTAAAACATTGTTGTACTGCAACATTAATCTTTTTGTATCTTTAAATGTGCTATTAAATGTTTCCCTTGATTTCTGTTTACTGGTGATTTTTTTTTTATTGTCAATAGGACTTGACACAGATCAACTTTGGAAAAAGTTTTACTTGCATTGCTGGCCAAGAAAGAGTAAATGGCCAGATGTTTATTTTACCAAAAAGGGGATTCCAAAGGGAGGTGAGAGTTGGCGTATCTGTTATCTCCAAAGATGTCTTCAAGATTCCCTCAACTGCCAAGGTGATCCTGATAAAGAGAGAAGTTGCTCTTCTCGTGCAGGTATATGTATATGGAGTACAATGATGAAAGATAAATTGTGTAGGAATGTTGTAAAATCAGTTAACGAAAAATTGTGCCAATGTGCTCAAGCTTATTTAAATTAAGTCAGAATGTCTTATCATTCCAAATCTGATTCAGAAGATACAGATTTATCGATCAAGTTGTTGAATTTGAGCAGTTTTGCATTCAAGATAAATTTTAAAGTTTGGGAAAAGTATGACAGTGTTTGGTAATTTTTGCTGTTTTTGTCTACCTTTTTGTAATTCTGTGATATTTTTCTTTTTTTTCAGTATTGTATCAGTAATTTCTTAGGTTTTAATAATATTCATTGCAGATTTCAATGCGGACTGTATCCCTTGTGACAGTGTTGTTCCTTCCAAAAACCAAAGCCTCAAAAACACTGTTGCACTTTGTGGAAGATATGCAACATACTTGCGACTTTACAACTCAGCGGTCATCTTACTGTTTGAGAATCTGGACCTCTGTTTCAAACTTGTGGATTATATAGAATTTCTTGAGGTTTTCCTCTTAAGAAACAATGGAGTCAATCAGCTGTGTCATCTTCTTCAGCTATTAACTTCAAGGAGACTAAAATCTGTTGGATTTTGTTTTTCCAAAGTTTCGGGTGCAGAATTATGGGACAGGATCTTTGACTCCTTGTCAACCAAAGGTCTTCCCAATCAAACTTACGAAGAAGAAGACAACTTTATCAGCACATGTACATGTACTTCCAGCCCAACCTCAAAACATAAAGCACTCATTGGAGAAAGCAAATTGTCTGCCAAGCAAACTTGTAATCAGTCAAATTGTGGACACAGGAAGACTGCCTCAGATGAAATCTCAGGAGTTCAAGTTGATTCTCTCTTGAATGACTGTACAGACTTAAATAAAGAAATTACCCTTGAATCTTCTCATAAGAATGATGATATTGATATTTATGCCTTTGATGAGTGGAATGACCTGCCTAAAACCCCTGAAAGTACTGTAAGCGTCTCTTTTAGAGGTTTCAAGGAGGGTGTAGGCGATACTAATTATGTTTCACTGAGTTCAGATCTCTATGATGAAGTTTTTGGTCAAAGCACCTGTAGACAGCCAAGTGACATCATGCCTACTAAACTTTTCCCTGGTGAAATCCAAGGATTGCAGCAATCTTCAGAACCATGTACATGGGATTCCACAATAACCTGTTTTCCAAGGCAGACTTGTTTCCTGGTTCATTTTGAGTTGGTAGGGTTTAGGCTTTACTCTGACCTTTTTGCAATGTTTGTTCACACTCTTAAAACTTGGTTGGCCCTAGAAACAATCATTCTTCAAGATAATGGTCTTGATCTTGTGTCAACACCTGGCAGGGAGTTCATAGAAACACTTAGTTTTCTCTGCAATAACGGAAGACTACAGAGTCTCCAAATCACTGATAACCCAGTTAGTGATGACTTCACAAAACTCCTTTTTGAAAGACTTGTGGTCTCATTGTGCTGTAAATGTCACAAGGATTGTAATTGTAGTCTCAGATATTTAACCAAATTGAAATTCTCTTCCAACAAAGTTTCACCAGGTACATCTGTGTATTTTGGGAAGTCACTAGGAGATGTATGTCGATGTAATGTACCAGTAAGCAAGCAGTTTTTGGAAAAGATGTTTGATTCAGTATTACCATCAAGCGACTCTGCTATGAGCACTGAAGATTTGACTCACAAATCCTTTAGTGAGCTGAAGAATTCATATGTCAGTCATTGTTTGGCTTGTCAGAGTGGTACCAGTGGCCGGAAAGTAACTTATTCAACTGGCAGTTACAATCATGGTACCCAGAAACTACCGGTAGGGTGCAAAATAAATACTGAACCAACAGAGCCCACTGGATCAACTGAAAGTTTCTCCCAAAATAAGAACCCTTTGCTGTCTAAAAGTGGCAAATGTGATGTGTTTGTTGGCATTCAAGTGATGAAGTTGAGTTGTGTGGTTGGGCAGAAAGGTGCAACTTTCATTGCAGAAGGACTAAAAAGAAACAGCACTCTTCATTCCCTAAGTTTGACAGACTGTGACATCAACACTGTTGGTCTTGCTAAGATATTCCAGGCATTATCAGGTGAAAAACACCATGTCAAGGACCCTTCAAGTACCACTATTATCAGTATCTTATGTGTCTATCATGTCATGTCAGAAAGTGAATAAGGCTTGCTATATTTTCATGTTGCTTAATGGGTATATTTTTACAAAATTACACACTAATCTTCATAATCACAGGGTAGGAGAAGCAAGAGGGCTTCAGAAGAAGTTAAGCTCATCAAGTTGACTGAATCAGAAAGTTTGAAAATGTCTTTATGTATTGGTATAGTTTGTTGTCAGGTTTTTAAGGAACTGATCTGTTTGAATATAGTTAAAAAGTTGAAATTGTTCAAAGCTCTGTTAAATGGCCCACAACACACAGCCTCTTGATTTTGAATCAAAATGCAATATTTTGGTGAAGGAAGAGACAAAGGTGTTTTGTTCAATACTCAGTTTGTACATGTTAGTATTATATTGTTACTATCAAGCAACTTTTAATGAGAATTTCTGACTTTGTTAATTCTATTACCTTAGATAACAGTTCTGTGGAACATTTGTGTGTAAAGGGCAATCATTATGATCCTGAAAGTGATAACAGCCTTGCTGAGATGCTTTCATCCAATAATACAATAACTGCACTGGACATGAGCAGTTGTCAACTCAGAGGTAAATGAAAAGAAAATCATCATGCACTAACTCACCCCTTGGGTGGTAGAGACACAGTGATAGCACCAACAGCAGTTTTAATAATCGTCATCATTATCAATGCTGTGACTTAGTGGTAGAGCATAATTGAAGAGCAAAGTATCTGAAGGTGCACTGGGGTTCAATTTCTCATGGGGACTTTTCTTTTTCCCGTGACCATGACAAGATAAGTGACTTCTTTCTTTAAAACATACTAAGCTCCTAGTTTTTGTGTTCTCTTAAAAACTAGTAGTCATGGTTACCTTACATCCCTTCTTCTCCATTGTCCTATACTCTCTCCCTTCTTGTCCTTCTTCAATTCTTTCCTTCCTTCTGTCTTTTATGATTTTTATAGCAAAAACCTTTTGAGGTATTATGGGG